GACTCATCTGTGCTATGAAAGAAACACCACATCCAAAACTGCCCAATACAGCCCGACGGCTGAGGAGCTGACACAGGACTAAGATCCTGTCTATGCAGGATGGAGCAAAGTGAACCAAGAAATCAAGGCAGATGAGGCTGTTTAGCCCAATACACCCTATGGGGATCAGGTCCTGTCTACATTGCATTTTAAGCCAGGCTCTGTGAGACCTAGGCTTGTGGATTCAGTGTGTCCAACCCACGCTTGAGCGTCTACACTGCATTGTTAACCCGGGTTTACCCTGGCCAGCCCCGGGTCTTACCGCTGTGCTAACATGTCCAGACCTTTTGACTCAGGTCCACACTGCAGAATTACAGAGTTTGGGCCCGAGTCCCAGTGGGACTCAGGCTCTGACCCCCACTCCTCCCAGCAGGGTCTTAGGACCTGGGTTCTGAGTGCTTGCTGACCTGAGTCAGACTGATTTGTTTGTGAATGGAAAGGGGGCTTGGGCTCAAACTGGAGTCAGAACCCAGGGTTAGTGTGCAGTGTAGACCTACCAACAGAGGGACAGATGCTCTAGAATCCCACAAAGGAGCCCAACATGTAGGTTTGAGGGGAGGTTATAAGCTCTAATACAAGCAGCAATGTATTCTTGATTTTTTACGTTATTGTGAGCAGTTTCTGTTTGAACTTTCCCCTGGGATATCGGAAACACAAAACACACGAGCGCGGTACCAATGTAGGGGCTAGAAAGGGACACGGAACTGTTCCACTTACTGTCCAAACTGAGTGAAGCTGCAGGAAGCAAACAATTAGCATGAATGGTGAAAACCCGAATGCATTTTTTTTTTAAATGTCATTCTGTCGCCCCCGCCAGATTTCACGGATTTGGAAGCTAATGGTTAAGAAATAACAATTACGCTGGTTTGCTTTTTGGATTTCAGAGGCGATCAGACATCATGGTGATGCATACAGTACAAGAACCTCGATCAAAACATTGCAATCTCACACACACACACACACACACACACCCTTTGACCACTTTGGAAGCACTCAATATGAATGATGCAAATGTTGCCTTTTATTGAACGCTTAAAATATCCTAGGCCCGACTCACCACTGCCTTGCAATGTGTCATCACTTACATCTGTGTAAAAGGAGGTGTAAACGCACTACATCAAGTCAGAAAAGGAGCATTTTACATCCACTTTGTGCAGATGCAAACACCAGAAGAGGGAAGGCAGCGGAGAGGCAGGCGCAAGACAGCAGAGGCATGGTGGTGACATCAGACAACGTATGGATTCTGTTTTCATTTGGATTTATGTTGCCATCCTCTGATGCTTTGCAGTGGAGTGAGCGTTGGCTCAGATGGCATCAGAAGTCTAAGGGTCTTCTGAGACACAAAGGCTGAAGAAGAGTTTGAGAGAGACAGAGATGTCCGAAGAGGGAAAAAACAGGTTTGGTTTCCCTATATTGAACACTTGCGTTGGAGCTTTGCTAGCCCCGGAAGCAGCTGTGAAACTTCACGAGGATGCTCGAGGGTGGCTGTTATGCCGTGCACCAGCATCACACATTCTGTTACATTTCGTTTCCTGTCGTCCTTCCCAGCTTGAATTTTCCACATGGCGCCCCAACATAATGCTTCTTGACAGGCTGACGAGGGAGCTCGCAGGCGCTCTCTGACAGCTTCAAACTTAGTATCTTTGTGGAAGCAGCTGTTTCCTATCATCCGCCACTCTTCGGGCGCCTGCCTCTTGCCCTCAGCGCGCCTTCCCTAAAACAGAGCTCATGCCGACGTCTCTGGTGTTCCAAACACTGCTGCACGCACTGAGCTGAGATCAAACAGGTCCCCTCCAGAATACTCTCTTCCAGCGGTTGATGTGGCAAAGTTTAATGTGTCTGTGCTAAATTCAGAGGGTCTGGGGAGAAGGACAGTGACCACCTGTGGGGCAAGAACAGGAGAACTGCGGGGTGGGAGGGTCCCAGAAACTGGGCTCCAGCCCAAGCCCGGAAGTCTACAAGGAAGTGAAACAGCCACCCAGCCCGAGCCCGAGTTGGCTGGAGCAGGCCAGCCGCGGGTCTCTAGTTGCTGTGAAAACATAACCTAAGGGTATGTCTACACTGCAACTGAGAGGTCTGATTGCAGCAGGTGCCCCCATACCTGAACTTGCTTTCATCTAGCTAGATTCAAGCTGGCTCACATAACTAGAGCAGCGAAGTGCAGCAGCACAGACTAGCCACTCGAGTACATACCAGGGTCCCAGGCGGTCGGAGCCAGCCTAGGCCGTGGCCCGTCCCGCCGCAGCGTCACTGCTATCATCATTCGAGCCAGCTTTGATCTCGTGTGCAGCAGTCACCCCTCAGGGTTGCAGAGGAGACCTCTCGACTTACAGCCTGGCAATGCCAAGGGAAGTTGGCAGGTGGGGCAGGGAGATGGGCCATAAAAGGCTATCACACAAAAACAACCTCTAGGGCAGTAAGAAGAACAGGAATACGTGTGGCACCTTAGAGACTAACAAATTTATTAGAGCATAAGCTTTCGTGGGCTACTGCCCACTTCTTCAGATGCATATAGAGTGGAACATATATTGAGGAGATATATATATACACACACATACAGAGAGCATGAACAGGTGGGAGTTGTCTTACCAACTCTGAGAGGCCAATTAAGTAAGAGAAAAAAAATTTTTTTTTGAAGTGATAATCAAGCTAGCCCAGTACAGACAGTTTGATAAGAAACTAGGGCAGTGTTTTTCAAATGCAGCCACCAGGAGCTTTTCCTGTGGCCACAGCAGGGGGATGGTGGGGGATAAAACACAAAGCAGTGGGCCCCTCCCCCAGGGCCACCAGCAGGAGGTGGGCCCTGCCCCCCTCTGGAGCCACAAACGCATAAGGAGCAGACAGCCAGTGAGTTCCCCACCTTACTGGGGGCAGGGAGGTTCGGGCTTCAGCCCCAGGGTGGCGGGCGGTAGGCCCCGCTTGTGGGGCTTCGGGCTCCAGCCCTGCACCCCGACCACGGGTGCAAGCCCTCGGCTCTCACACACACACACACACACACATCGCCCCTGGCCCCCGCTGCCTCCCCATCCATCCCCCCACTGCCCTGACCCCCTGCTGTCTCCCTACCCACCTCCCCATCCAGGGCTTAATTTGTCCTCTGGCTTGCCAGGGCTGAGTAAGTCTGCTGTGAAAATGGATATTTATATGCTTGTTAATACCACTTTTCACAGCCTCCCTGATAGCTAGTAAGCCTGCTGTGAAGTGACATTAACAAGCATACAAATATTACTTTTTGCAGCTGCAGACTTACTAGAGAAGCAAAAGAAACAAACAACAAAAGACAAGAATGTGCAAAGCATCTTATTTGTGTTTCTAGTCTGTTTAGGTCAGTAAAGAGTCTGCAAAAAAAAAAAGGCACCTTTACATAAATAAATTGCATGATTTGGACATGTATCTGTGCATATTTATTTGCTTTTCCTAAAGTATTTTAGGAAAAATTGTCAGAGCAGCCACCAGTAAGACTTGGTGGCCACACTCTGAGGCCACCAAAAAATGTGTTGTGAGGACCCCTGCTCTAGGGCTTTCATTCTGTAGAACCAGTGATTCCAGGCTTGAGGAAGGGTTGGGGGGGGGAAGGGAGGAGGGATCCTTGATAACCACATTTTCCAAAATAACCACAAATTTTGGGTGCCCCTATTTTTGCGGTGTCCAACGTCAGGCCTCATGAACTAGCACGCAGGACACATCCTCCAGATAACTCTCCTCCCACACACATGGCGAAAGTTGGTGAACTAAAAATGGAGGCTTCCAGACTTAGAAGCCACTGCTGTAATCTAGTGGGACTAAATGGGCCCAAAGAAACAAAAAGGTGTTAACATGACGCTGCCGCTATCCAGCACTGAAACAGCGTTGAACAAGACTCAAAGTTTGGTGGGCCAAGATCTCAGCTTGCTTAGTAC